TCCTGCTACAAATGTAAGTCAAGTAGTTCTTTACCCACTTGCAAGGCTGTTTTTGAACTTTGTAGCCCAGGCTGGCCTTGAACTCACAGCAATCCACCTGCTTGGGCCTCCTGAGTGCTGGGATTACAGGCTTGCACCACCACACCCACCCAAGGAGGCTACTCTTGATGCTCCTTAAAAAAAAAAAAAAATTATCCTCATAGAAATTGCTGAGGGGTAGGGAGCACACCAGGGCTGGCTTGCATTACTAACTGTCGAAGTAGAAAATCGCTCACTGCAACTACTTTGTCGCTGCTTCCAGGTGCTTCTGTCCATCCCGGTCTCCACTTTCTCCCTGCCCCAGATTCTCAGAGGCTCTGGTCTCCTGGGCCTTTTGGCTGCAGGTCTACTCTCACTACTCTGCACTGTGCTATCGATTGACCCGAAGCCTAGTGGCCTGATCTCCCTCTGGAGCTCATCTCCTGGAGCCTAGGACGCGGACATGCAGTTACACTGCAAAACAACAAGTGCGGACGCTTTGTTGGCTCTGCAGCTTGAGCCTCTGTGTTCTCAGTGTAGAGCTGGAGAGAAGGGTAGAGTCAGAATGCACCGAATGTTCTGACTCGAGGCTTTTGATTTAGTGGACAGGAGACCTTGGAGGTTTAAAGCACGAGATGCCAGGATCTGGAGTAAGCTGCAGGTAGCAGAGTGGCGGGAGTGAAAGAGGGGTGCAGGTGGGCTGCAAGCTTCTCAAACAAGGATTCTGGTGTTGCTTTCTTTTCATATCCCTCAGCTGTCAGGGTCTTGGCAAGCACCAGATGACTGCCGCTTTTGCCCTCCTCCTGCAGGGCGTCTGACAAGCTGTTCCTCCTGGACCAGTGTGAGAAGTACCCGCGCTGCAGGCAGTGCCAGAAGCGCATCTCCAACGTGGGTGAGAGCAACCTGTGGCCCAGCAACAAGTTTTTGCACGGCTCCCGGCTGCTTGTGTAAAGCTTGAAATTCAGTCCTGCGATTCACGGAGAACTTTCACAAACACCTTTTAAATATTTGGAGTAATTATGAAACTGCACATTCACCTCAGAGGAAGAAACGTTATTCAGGTTTGGTGCTTTGGCCAGGTTGCTTTAGTGACCTGTTGTTGGATTAGTTTCTGTTCCTGTCTTCCCACCACCCTTACTTGTTCCTGTAACCAGCCTTTGGTGGCGGCGAAGGTATCCGGATAGTTCTGAGGACTAGAACCTATTGCCACAGGGGCCAGCAATGGAATCCAGCTTCTTGTTGGCGCTGCTGACCCAGCCCTGCCACTCCCTCTGGGACTTCATCCTTTTTCATCTATAATGGATAATAAATATTTTCTAAGTGTCTGACCATGCATGATAATTCCGAGTGGTCAATTTACCCCTCTGGCTGTCTTGTTCAGAGAGCTGTGTGTGTGTGTGTGTGTGTATGTGTATGTGTGTGTGTGTGTGTACACATCATACAAATAGGTCAGACTATCTCAAGAGGCTCAAAGCAACATTGCTGGTGTTTTCTGATTGATGACACCCCTGGGACCTTGTCACTGCCTGAAGGATGCCACTCCTTAGTGACCTCTTGGAGGAATACTCT